GTCCATCCCGTCCCGTCTGCGGTGTAGCTGTGGGGTGTGTGATCCACAGCCAGAAATAGAGCAGGCTGGAAGGGCCGCCATCTGTTGGAAGGCGCAGTCCCAGATGGCGCTGCCTTTCCGGCTTTCCGGTAGCAATCTCCTCTGTCTAACGAAATGAGGCAGAAACGGCCCGGTGGGCTGGCGGGGGCCGTGAGCCATCCTCAGGCTCTGGCCTAGGAGCCTCCGCTTACCCAGTCAGGTCATCTCGCCCGGCCACACCGACGTCCTTCCCTGTGAGGCACGTGGGTGGATTTTCATAGGCGGAACCACTGGCCCCCTCCTCGTGCACCCAGTCCTGGCCTCGGGGGGTGATAGACTCCTGCACACAGTGTGGGATAAGTGCTGCCCCGTGGGTGAGCTGGCACATATAAGACTGAGCCTGGCTCGGGGGAAAGGACTCGGGGGAGCTGTTGCTCGCCCCAGGCTCCCAGGGCAGATCTTCACAAGGAGCTCTGCACCAGCTGCTCCCCACTGTCAGGTCAGGAGCCTGGACCTGGGCATGGTGCCTGTGCAGACCTGGTGGCTGTGGAAGCCACTCCACTCTGCCTCACTGGTGGTGTGCCAGCCCTGTGCAGGGCACGCTCGGGGAGTCCCCGTGGAGTTACCTGGGCCACTGGCTGGAGGGCTGGCTGGACCACGGCCGGCTCCCATCAGAGCTGCTGACCCCCAGGTCTAATGGGAGATGCCGAGTGCCCATTTAGTAAGCTCACATGGGACACCAACGTGTAGGCCAGGACCCAGGCAGAGAACCCAGGCTCACACCAGACACACACACAGAAGCTCGGGAGGCTCAGAGAAGAGCACCACTGAGCCTTCAAGGAACCCGAGGAGCAGGAGGTCAACAACCTGACTACACAGCCCCTGCCCAGGAGTTACGCTCGCTGACAAGTGACTGGAGGCTCAACCTGCCACAAGCTCAAAACAGGAGAGATGAGCCCCCTCCAGCCAGAGGACAAGCCAGCCTGTAACCCCGGAGCCGAGGAGGTAGCCCAAAGCACACACAAGGAGACTCTGACTGTGGTGGCTGGAGGGTGGTCTCCTCAGGAGAGACTGATGGTGCTGTGTAGTGAGGTGGTCTCCTCATGAGACTCTGATGGCAGTGGTTGGCGTGGTGTTCTCCTTAGGAGACTCTGACGGTGGTTGGTGGTGTGTGGTCTCCTCCGGAAACTCTGGGAGTAGTGGCTAGAATGGTCATCTCCTCAGTATACACTTTGAATGACGGTCTTTCGGGAGACTCTGATGTCAGTGGGTAGAGTATTGGTCTCCTCAGGAGAGACTGACGGTGGTGGATGGAGTGGTGACCTACTCAGGAGAATCTCTGATGGCAGTGGTTGGAGTGGTATTCTCTGGTGTTGGGGGGTGATGTGTGGTCTCAGGAAACTCTGGTGGCAGTGGCTAGAGTGGCCATCACCTGAGGATATGCTTGGATGGTATTTGGGTGGGGTAGCTATGACCTCAGTGGTAAGAGCATCTTAACCCTAGAAGAGAGAGACTGAGAAAGTTGAAGACGTCAGTTAGATGTTATCACTCCTTTACTGAATCCATATCTAAACATTTTGTCTAAGGAGAAAAATAAAACTACTCTAAAGATTATGAATACTCATATAGAATAGAAAAATAATAATCTTGTTTCATCCTTTCATTTATGAGAATTCTTTTTTAAGCTGTGGGGCCAACCTCCCCATCCATAGAACACATGTAGATCATGGTTTTACTTCTAGCTATAGGTCAAGCTTTTTACCCTGCTTTGTGATCAATTAATCAAGCACTACCTTCTTATTGACTAAGGAGACCTACCATAATAAGGTAGTTACAATTTGAGACAGAGTGACATCTGAAGTGACAGCTGTCACAGGACTTTCCCGAGTCTTAGGTAAGGACATAATACTAGAAATGAACGATTAGTGGTCCACCTTTTTCAGCCTTACCACCTGAGTCCTCCCTATGAGCAGGTAACAAGCAGTGTTTTGTTAGCTTTATAACTAAGTAAAAACGTCGTATATTTATGATGTACCGCATGATTTTCAATACATGTTCACATGGTAAATGGCTAAATCCATCTATTAACATACACATTACCTCACATAGTTAATTTTGTGGTTGGTGTTGTGAGATCTATTCTTCACATTCTTGGGGAATTAAAATCAAAAGATGAAATAGTTATGACTTTTCAGTTTATCCAGACTCTTAATTCTTTTTGAATCGTTTAAAACTCATTTGCAGATTAACATTCGCAAGCCTTCTATCGTGAACCGATGAAACAGGAATGACTGAGGAAAGACTGCGGTGTTCACAGGGAGGCCCATGATCTTTGAGGGAAGGGAATGGGGGAGGGCCACATGTACTCTGGTTTCTCCTGGTGGGAGGCCATTTCCAAAGCACGGTGTAGGGATGTAGAGCCAAACAGAGAGCAGGAGTCTCAGGCAGCGGCGGAAAGAGGGATCCAAACTTCGGGCTGCTGAAGCAGCTGTAATTTGTGAGCCAGGAACTGCAAAAGGGAGAACTGCCAAAAAAAGTCTATCAGAAATCTGAATGTACGTTTCTTGGGCCAAATACATTCCACCTGTCTAGGCTGGGACTCTTTGAAGCATGGCAGAGATTGAACACAGGAAGCGAGGGAGTGGAATGGACATTCTGCAGGCTGCACAGCTCTGGGAAACATCAAGCTTCTGACGAGCGAGAGTGGAGAAGCCTCAAGGAACGCCCAAGGCATCCAGTCGGCAACTCAGAAAGTCCAGGCCTGGAGCGACTCGAGACCCATCCTCAGAGACCTCCCCCACCCCACCCCCGCCCCTCCCCACCCCGTCTTGAGAGGGCCAAACAGACCTGTCAGCAAGTTAACTGCCAGCAGGGCAGAGCTTCACGTTTTTTACAGGGAGACAATCAGCAGTGTACCAAACTTTATGCCCACAACAATAAAAACTCCTAGACATGCAAAAAAGTTGGGAAAAGCACTTACAACCAGGGAGGAAAATACAATGGAAATAGGCCAAATGATCTTACAGATTGAATTAACATGCAAGATGGTTAAACAGCTCTTACAACATGCTCAGGTATTTTTAAATGAAAAGATGTCCCACCCCATAAGCCTGGTCTGTGCTTAGTGACAAGCTTCTCGGCCTAACCTCAGAGAGCAGGTCCTGATCCTGCACCACCATGACCACATGACAGAGGCCAGCATCAACGGCAATCATGCTGATGGCACCTGTGCATGACACCAAGAGATGGAAAGGGCGTCTGTCACTGCTGTCTTCTCTCCAAATCCCATAAGGTTTCAAAGCAACTCAAGGTCACCTAGAAGAACAATAGCTAAGTACCATAAAGAAGTAGAGTAGCACTACCAATTAAGAGTCACAATTGAGTACTTTTAAAATGTAATTCATCCGGAGAAAAGGCATAAAAAGAAAAGCCAGATGGAACAACAGAACACAAAGAGCAATCTATTGGACCTGCAGCCAGCCCTATCCTGCTACATTAAGTGCAATGGGTTAAACATTGTTATTAGAAGGGCGTGATTGTCACACTGAAATTTAAAAAACAAAACAGGACCTAACTATGTGGTTTAAGTCTAGGCTGCAGATGGGTTGTCCATCCCATGACCATAAGCATGCTAAGGCAACCATGCCAATGACACCAACGTAGCTTCAGTGCCAGGACATTGCTGGCAATAAACAGGACAGCTCACTGTGACAAGAGGGTCAATTCACCAAGAAGACATCGAGTTTTGAATGTCTGTGTACATGGAAACAGCCGTCAAACTGTACCGTGAAAAACTAACAGGGCTCAATAGGAGGTGCAGATCTCCCAGACTCTCATGCCTGAACAAGACTGCCTGCATTTCTAAAAGGAAAATGAAATCTCACCCTCAGGAGAGAAGATTGCGGTTGTGTCATATTAGGTCTAAGATACATGAAAATATTGTGACATAAAGCCCCGTTTTAAAGGGCCCAAATATGCCCCTGTTCACCCTGGGAACCTCGTCTTTGCTGGGGACCCGAGACTTATTGGGATCGTGGTTGTAACTCACAGGAGAGGAAACACACCTGACAAGTCCTCCGTCTTGTACAATGGGACGTCCACTCTTCCCAGTGGAGCTCAGGAGTCGACATGGAGCTGAGGAGAGGCAGCTCATTCTGAAGCTCAGATCTTCTAACAGCAATGGCTGCCTGGGTCCGCAGATCCCGCCCAGTTGGAACCAGCTTGACTCACTCTGAGCATCTCCATCGTTGTCTGCCCTACTCTTCAGCTGAAGGCGGGTCCCGATGAAGTGGCCCAGGGGGGTATCCATGCTCCTGACTTGGTGAGTGAGCAGAAGAAGCTCTCTCCATTTCCTGTTCTCCTTCACAGACTGGCTTTTTTGTTCCTGTTAAAGTTTTCTAATGCCTCTGTAGCTTCCCTCTCCCCCAGGGCTGCATCTTCCTATCATTCCCCACCACCCCACACACAGGCTTGTTTTCCAGACCCGCTGTGGGCTCAGGGCTCTGGGCACCTGCTCTGTAGCTATGGTGATGTCCTGATGAGCTTGGACGTCAGCGGTGGGGCAGACAGCCTTGCTCACAGCTGGAGTGCATCCTAGGAGCTCAAGGGCCGACTGTGCTCACAATAGCAAGAGAAATCACCTCAGTTCCTCAGGAGGTCTTCCCGGCCCCACTGTGTCCACCAGTCCCACAGTCTTCTGGCCATGGCCTGCTCAGGGGCATCAGTGCAGAGACAGAGAGTGGCTCATCAAGAGCAGTCGCAGGTCTGGGGTCCCAGCATGGTGACTTCACCCTTGTCATCCTGCAGCCCCCCGTGTCACCGGAGCCCCAGCATCTCCCCTAGATGTTGGTGAGCTGTGACTGTGTCCTCATACTCCTGCCTGGCAGCGAGTCCTCTCTCCAGGGAGGAGGGATGGGGGGCCACAGCTGCCCACACAGAGCCACCCTCTGGCCCAGCCTGCCCACCCTCCTCACTCACCTTCTCCCTGTGCCGCCTCCTCCAGCCGCAGCCTGCCAGACGCCTGCTGGAGCTTCAGGTTCCATTGTGCAGGGTCATGTGTGATTCACAAAATAATAAAGTGAATAGGGTCTGAGGATAAAGTCCAAGTGGAATATCAGTAAATCTGCTCCTTGGATGATGTCTCTGTGATCCTCTGATCCTTGCCTGCTCCTCACGGCCTTCCCCACGAGGAGCAGGAAACCATGGGGGGGGAGGCCGTGGGAGCAGGGAGAGGTGGGTGGGAAAGAGCCCAGGGCTGCACTCTACTGTGAATGCCTTCAAATCACCTAGCCCCGGGCCCTCTGCCCGCCTGTGGCCCGGATCAGAGGTGTGATCCCGAAGAACGATGCCAGCCCCACATAGAAATCCGCTGCGCGGGCTCCAGCAGACCCAGGACAGCCTGCCCTGCCACCAGCACCCACCAGAATCCTCGGGGCTGGGTCGGAATGGAGCCCCATCCTCCCCATCGAGTCTGGGGCCTCTGGCACACGCGGCATTGCTTGTTCTTCTCCCCGTCCCGGGTCCTCACCCAGAGTGCACAGCACACAGCTCGGGATGAGCCAAGCTGGAGTCTCCTCCTACTTCGGGAACCCACTGACCCGGCACAGGTGAGCAGACCAGGCCTCTCTTCACCTTCCCCTCCTGGCCCAGGACATTCAGCTCAGGTCACCCAGGCAGCAGAGCTCCAGGGCCCTGGGCCTCCAGTGTCAGTCCTTGCTGGAGTGCGCTCCCGGAGGCAGCGGTCCCACACCGTCTCCCCAGGCCCAGGCTCCCCAGGCACCCGGAGCCCACTGAGAGCTGGGAGACGTGGGCCTGCGGCAGAGGCAGGCAGCAGGCGGCAGGAGGAAGGCACAGGTGCTGAGGTGCAGGAGCACAGCTTCCTCAAGTCTGGGCCAGCCAGCGAGGACACTGCGGGAACAGTCATGTGACCCTCACTCACCCGCCACAGCTCTGCCTGGCCCCAGGAAGCAGGGCCTCCTTTCCTCCTGCTTTCCTCGCGGCGCTTGGTGGCCACCTTCTCTGTCCCAGCACATATCAGGTTCCGACCTAGCCCTGGCAGGGCCTCCGGCTCTCCTAGATGGTGACCTTTCTGAGAATTTGAACCACACGGCAGCTGCTCTGCTGTACAAAGCCCTGAGTGCAGGGCAGTGCTCAGCTAGTTCCCCTCCTGTCCCCTCCAGGACCTAATGTCCGTGGCCAAAGCCCTCTGCTCCCCTGAAAGCCCAGGCATCTTCTCCACTGTCTTCCTTCCAGCCTGGGGAAACAATCCTCAGAACTGGGCCAGGTGCCTGCCTGCCTCGGCCTCGTCACGGCGCATCCGCGGAGGTGGCGGGGTCCTCCCGTCACCGTGGGTCTTTGTCCTGACATCACCACCAATACGCAGAGTTAGCAAAGACAAGCGTGGGCGCCTCCTATCCCCCCACCCGGAGGCAGAGCTGAGTCCACTCAGGTCGGGGGCTCTGCTGGAGGGCTCTTTCTGAGGAAGAAGTCCTTCCCGACTGGCAGATAGACAGGTGAGAACAACAGACCCCTGGGCCTGGGGCCAGCTGGCTAGGACACAGGGATCGAGGTGGCGCTCATCAGATGGCCCTTCTCTCTGGGCTGGTGTGGGCTTCCACTGAGGCTTCTCAGGATGAGCGCCGTCTGCATGATGACCTGAGCAGCACCTGAAGTCCTGTTTTAATAGTCCTGTTCCACAGCTAGATCCTCAGCACTAGGCTGGTACGGAGCCGGGGCCTTCGAGGAAGCCGAGGTGGTGGAAGAACCCCTCACAACCCCGTGCTGAGGACCCGTCAGAAAGATCTTAGAGGTATCACTCAGAGTAACAGGCATGAGTTCATCGGAGGAGTAGGAAAGGGGAAAGGGGCCCTCCCAAAGGAGAGAGGAACCCTGTCAGAGAGAAGAGGAACAGAGTCTCTTCTGCACTCCAGTTTTATTGGGGATCCCAAAGAAGTTTCCAAAGAGTCCCACCCAGGTCCACCTCTCGACCTTTGGCTGACAGCAGGATGACATCAGACTTTCAAGTCCCCAATGTCATGACAACTCTGGGTCACCTTGGCCCATGCTGACCAGTTCTCATTGGATTCTTAACCATAAATTCTTACATGTTTTATGGTAAGGAGGAATTATTCTTATCGCCCTGAGTTTTGGATCTGGTCACAAAAGTCTCCCCCCTCAGGGGAACTTGGGTTCCTCTTATCAACACTGGACTTGTGTTTCTCCTTCAGTTAAGGGGCAGTTTGCTGAGGAATGTGACATAGCCTCTCCGCTTTGGCCATGCAGAGCTTCTTGGAAAGGAGGCATGTGAGGCTCAGCACGGTGGGCTGTTTGATAGAGTCATTCCCTTAACCTCGTGTTCCCACCATCCTCATCTGTCTGTCCCCTGGCAAAATCAGAGGAGGCTCCACAGAACAGTGCTTTGCTAGATGTCTGACGTGGCAGAGCCCAGTACCTGCTGTGTGCGTTAGCAGGTACTGGGAGATGGTACAGGGAGATGGCTGCACAGTGCAGCAGATGCCCGAGCACAGCAGCTACAAGTCGCTGGACGTCCCTGGACGGGAAACCGGAGGAAAGCCAGAGATGAAGAAAGACTACGAAGGCACCTGGCTGAGCCTCGCCTCGCTTGGAAGTCCTCAAGGTAAGACTCTTTCCCACACTTCATTCCACACCACTGAAGAGTTGCAAGCAGATGAGTGGAAACTGGGAAAGGTGACCAGGAACGGGAGAACGTCCTCAGTGGAGGAACGGCCTCCTCCCTCCCCTCCGGCATCTGTTTGCAAATCCACTTTGTCTCTCCTAGGTCTGCTGAAGAATAATGCCACCTACGTTCCACTCTGGGGCACCCTTGACGCCCTCTCACATCCACTGCCTCAAGTAGCCTGCATCCTTTCCCCCAACCACACAGCCAGCAGAGGGCCCCCCAGAGCCCTGGCAGCCTCCATGACCAGAGTTCCAGCCTGTGCTTCATCTGCCAGAGGACAAGTCCACTGACTCAGTTCTGCCCCCAAGACCTTACCCCACCCAAGGCCTTACCCCACCCACATGGGTCCCTGGCCAGGAACGGCTACAGCCATAGGCAGGGGCTCCTGGGAGGGCAATGGGCAGAGGGTCCTGGGGGCTCCGTGGGCCGGGGACTCCCCCTAGGCATGCAGCCCTGCTTGATGGGGGAGCAGGGGAACACTGTGGACACAGAGGGCAGGTGGTGGCAGATGTCAAGGGGAACCGGCTGCTGATGAGGTGAAGAGAAAGAGAAGTGAAGCAGAGGATTTCAGAAAAGAGTAAGAACAGAGAAAAACAAAGAAAAGCCCAGCTGGGAGGGCAATCTAGAGGGGGTCTGCAGAAGCTCGAGTGCTGATACCAAAGAGGCACGAGCGGACTGGTGCCTGGCCCCGAGATGAGCCCGCAGAACGGGGCTCCTGGCAGCTGGCAGAGGGGAGAGCCCATTCTGGAAGGTGGGAGCCGCGGGGGTCTTGTGTCGCCCACTCTGCTCCTCAAAGCTGCAGCTGCTGGACCTGACCCCACGGCGGGATGTTAGGAGTGGGCGCTTCCAGCCGTAGGGGAAGAGGCAGGGCCTGGTCTAAGTTGGGTCTGGATGGGGGCATGAGGTGGTGGCAGGACCCCACCAGAACACAGCCATTCGCAAGCCAGGAGAGGCTCTGGCCGGAGCCCGCTGCCAGCACCCGTCTTGGCCGCCCAGCCTCCAGGCCGCCAGCCAGTGGGCGTTGCTTCAGCAGGTGCACACCCAGACTCAGACCCGCGGAGCTTCTCCCCCTGCAGCCCCCAGTGTTCTGCTCTTGAACCTCTTGATCAGGCTCCTGTGACACGAGAGATCACCTGGATCTTGCTGCCAAGGGACTGAAACCCTGAAGCTCAGTGGCCACTAAATCAATTTTCCACACTGATGATGACGACCTTGTTGGTGTCTGATTCCTCAGTAGCAGTGTCACTGAACTGGGAACAAAGGCCATGATATGACCCAGGGAGACTGTCCACAGTACCAAGCAGCCCTGAGCCCTGACCTCACCACCCTGCAACTGCAGAACTGACCCTGCCACCTAGGGCCACCCTGGAACTGTGAAGAAGTAAAGAACCTGTGGCCTGAGAAGGAACCCTCTTTTTAGAAGTGCGGGGTCTGAGGGGAGCTTGCAAAGCAGCCTGTCGTCTGCTCAGGTCAGCGTCAGCTGCCCACCCTCCACTTACCCTCTCACCCCCTGGTTCCAGGCCTGGACATCATGCCAAGTGCCTCACCTGGGCCATGGGCATCTCCGGCTGCCAGGACCATCGCTGGGCATGCGTTAAAAAAGTGCATCTGCAATGGAGCCCTCCTGGCAGGAGAGAACTCGGGGCTGCCTCCATGCCTCGGACTGAGATGGAGGGTCCCCTGGGTCCTGCATGTTCTCTCCCTGGAGAAGAGTGCAAGTTAGATGTTGGTGAGCTGCTATGTGCACGATCACGACACCTGCAGTGTTTCAGAGGCAACTGATTCAATAGATGGCTACTGTGTGGTCGGAAGAAACACTGACTAACAAAGAATTTTTATTTTAAAAGTGTCTGATTTTTATTTCTAAAAATCTAGATATATGGTAAGTAAGATTTGTGGTTTTGAAAACCACCCATGAAACGATTTCCCCTAATGTAGACAGCCCAGGTCATT